TTCAGTTCAGCTAGCAAAAATACAGCTTGATGTTTATTTATTTAGTTGCCAAAAAAAAAGGATTGAAAGCAATAGAAAATCAGGAAGATAAACAAGAAATAAAAGGGCAGAGAACTTAATATCAACAATCTAAACTATATCTATCTATCTAATATATCAAAAAGGCACAGAACTTCCTAATATGGAAACAATACAGTGTATGATTAGCATGACAGCCCCAATGGGAGTTGTCTTTGGTCATTCCAGATTTTTTTTAAATTTAATATTTTACTACTTTTAAAATCATTTATTTATTAAATTTTTATGCTGTCCATCTTCCCTGGGCATCTCGCAAGTTATAAAATAAATTTAAAAATAATTAAAATATTAAAATAAAATAATGACAGAGAAACGGGGGGGGGGAGCCAGAAAGATAAAAATACATGCATTGACAAAAAAGTGTTTTTTTTTTAAAAAAAATGAAAAATGCAACAAAGAAAAAAAGACATAATATATTATTACTGTAAAAAGTTATGATTATTAATGCAATTATCATTCAAGTACAAAGAGCAGTGGTGATGCAATGGTTAGAATGCAGTATTGCAGGCTAACTCAGCCCACAGTCAGAAGTTCAGTTCTGACTGGCTCAACGTTGACTCAGCCTTCCATCTTTCTAAGGTAAATTGTTGGGTGCAATATGCTAAAATTGTAAACTGCTCAGAGAATGCTGTAAAGCATTATGGAGTGGTGGTACCTAAGTCTAAGTGCTATTGTTATATGTTTCTAATACATTTATATAAGTATCATTATTTTTAACCTATTGTGTTTGGTATAAATGACTCCCATATTTCATTATATTTGTCCATACAAAGTCTATGTCCATAGGAAATCCGCTCATAGGCAAAAGTACAATCAGGTCTCCAATCCATTGAGTGAAAGGAGCCGTATATTAATCTTTTCAGTGCTGCTATATTAGTCTGAATAGAATAGAACAGAACAGAAGAAAACAGAACAGAACAGAATAGGACAGAGGAGAGGAGAGGAGAGGAGAGGAGAGGAGAGGAGAGGAGAGAGGAGAAGAGAAGAGAAGAGAAGAGGAGAAGAGAAGAGAAGAGAAGAGAAGAGAAGAGAAGAGAAGAGAAGAGAAGAGAAGAGAAGAGAAGAGAAGAGAAGAGAAGAGAAGAGAAGAGAAGAGAAGAGAATAACCGAGTTGGAAGAGACCTTGGAGGTCTTCTAGTCCAACCCCCTGCTCAGGCAGAAACTGTATACCATTTCAGAGAAATGGTTGTCCAATCTCTTCTTAAAAACTTCCAGTGTTAGAGCATTCACAACTTCTGGAGGCAGATTGTTCCACTGGTTAATTGTTCTAAATGTCAGAAATCATGGTAAGAGCATGGGATTGTGGTAAGAGCACAGGAAACCCATTTATGTTGTCCAGTTGTCAAATTCCAAGCAAGGTCAAAATAAGGTTATCATCTGAAAAATTCCAGCTTTAACTCTTCTATCTACAAATCAGTAGCAGAATAGAGATGAAAACTGGGACCTGGTGACACAACCTGAAGATTTAGGGAGAAGGCACCAAGTCTAACTTACTTATTGTTTTTTCCATGTTGCTTTCCAGTTTAATAGATTAACAACAAGTCCAAGGTCACCAAGCAAGGCTCTTTGGGGTGGATTTAGTATAATATTCTTACTTCACTTTTAAGACAATTTCTAAACCTAATATAATGAGTTATCCTCAGACAGCTAAACTAATGTAAGCAAACCAATTGTTTTCATATGCTGTCTTGAAAGTGGTCTACAATAGAAAGAAACATTGCTGCCTTCCTAAGGAATAAAGCTGGAGAAGTGGAAATAGGGCGCACTGTTTAGCCAAACACAAACACTTTTAATGCTCAACAGGGCCCGTCGATGAGATGTGCTGTGAGGTTCTAGTATGCACCCTAGTAATACTGTCATTTACGCAATATAAGATATAATGGATTCAAAGTGCTTAATCATGATTAAATTATGTATGTTTATAAAATAGTGATGGCATTTACAGGACATGACAGCACACTTGAAAGGTATTAAATTAAATTGCCAAGCTCACAGTCAATTTAACACATCTTGAACCTTTACGATAGCTTGTCTTCACCAGTGCTCTGACAAGAGAAGCATGAGGTGTTTCTTCTTCTCTCATACTTGATGTTCTCCTATTCTATTAGAATAAAAATACAGTGATTATTTTTTACAGGGGGAAAACAAGCCATAGTTGAAGAGATGAAAGATCTTTTCAAGGATCAGCAACTATCGTAAAGCCTATAAACGTGCAGGCATGACTCATTTTTAACAAAACTGAGAGGTAAAGGACAAGATCATTGTTGGAAGGCCCTGCATTTCACATATTCATTGATACCCAGAAGGAATACGAAGAGCTAGCTAAGTGGCAGAGGAGGCAAAATTATTCAAGATAATGTCTACAGCAGAGTAGCACTCTGAGCTTTAATGTAATGGTATTTAAAATAACTGTGGTAGAATTTAGTAACTTCTATTGATGGAGTTCTAACTGAGCTGCTCTCTTGCATGTACTAACTCTGGCTAGCTGTTGAATTTCTCCACTGTGACCAATTTGTTGGATATACTGTATTTTGATGTAACTCAGCTAGCCAAAGGGCAAACAGAATTCAAGGAAGCATTAGGAAAAAGAGAGTAATTGGCACATCTATGTGTATAAGATCTGCTTAAAGTATTCCAAGTATGTATATGAACATTAAAAATAAAGAAAAATGTAGTTGAATATTTTCTTAGAAAAATAATCAAAATATAAAATCTACTCAATGGCTGATTTTGAAGAAGAGTTGAAGTAAAGGATTTGATTTTTAAAACACCTGTCACTAGGAAGGCAATACTAAGATCCAAATAGGCAATTTTTTTTTACTTTCCAAAGCTACTATATTTTTCCTGCAATTTGAGACAACTGTCACCTGCAATTCACTGATGAAAAGCAACTTGATGTCGATCTGTCTCCTCCTAATAGTTTACTATTATTTCATTTCCAAAGTTGGCAAAGTTTTGCTGAGCAAGAAATAATCACATCACATGCTTTGTTCATTCTTCTAATGTAAAAACATAACCATGCAGACTAGAGCAATTCACAAGGCTCTGGAGATCAAGCAAAGTAGAAAGGCTATCAGATCTTTTTAAAAAAAATTATTGTGGGAACAATTGACTACAACAGGTTCAGAGTTGTAAAAGATATTTAAATCACTTGGAAACATGCAAAACAGAAAATACACAGTATAATCAGGGGTAGGCAACCTTGGCTCTTTTATGACTCATGGACTTCAATGCCCAGAAGTTGAAGTTGAAGTCCACGAATCATAAAAGAGCCAAGGTTGCCTACCCCTGGTATAGACAAACCATTGCAATCAGGAAAAAAAAATGAGCACAGATATGGAAATGCATATGAGGATGGCATTCTGAGATCCTATCAATTTTCATGCTTTGATATTTGTTGTTGTTGTTGTTGACTAAGATTGATCTCTTGGCCAATATGACATCAGTTTTAACAATAACAAACAACAATAAGAACAGGGATACAATTAATTAACTTTTTTTCTATTTCAGATCAATAATGGTATATTTTTATGAAGAATTAGCTTGCCCCTGGTGTGTTTTCAATGATTAATGTACATGTTTAAGCCACAGTCTTCATAAATGTTCTAGAATTAGGTGAACATTGAGATGACCAAGTCTGCTGACGTCAGATGAGGTCAGAACTAGAAACTTGAAAAGAATTAGAATTAGAAAAATAGTCATTAAAATGGCTACTTCAGTTCAGTTGGCCAATAGCCACTTTTATATCTACACAGCAAATTTTGGTTTAACCTGATATTTTTAATTATATTGTACCAGTGTTTATATGTTCTAAAAGACATGTTCTTAACTTATCAACTGATATCTTACTTGCATAAATTCACTTCATGCAATATTTATCAAAAAGCAGAAGCACCACAAAAATAGAGCTAATTGTTTTTATGCTGTTGAAGCAGTCATTTTTTCTTAAAAAATTAACTGAATACAAAAAACAATCAAACAAAAAGAAAACACAAACTTATAAAAAGAAAAAAGCTACACAAATCAACATACAAGACATATATTTACAAACATACATATATCAATATATTGACGCCATGATTTATTACAGTCATCCATAGCTGATCTATATTTATTCATCTATTTATGAAATTTATTTGCCACCCATTCTTTTCCAACTACTCTGGGCAGCTTACAGCATGACCATAAATTGACATTAATCAATTCGGTGAAATAGATGGAGCTATACAGTATGCTGTATTTCCAGTGCTGGATAGTGAAGTGCCTTTAACTGCCTGGACTGATCCCTGCAATTTTCTAGGCAACATTTTCAAAGTGATTGGCCTAAAGTCACCCAGCTGACCTCATGCTTAAGACAGTACTGGAAGTCATGGTCTTCCTAGTTTTTAGCCTGGCCTCTTAATAGATACATCTTCTCAATCATATTTTAATTTAGTAGAACATTTTATGTTCTACTAAAAATCATAGTACCTTATATGATTTAATCACACTCTTCTAATCACTATTTAAAAATATTTTATCTTGCTTTTAATATTTTTATAAATAACTCAAAGCAGAGAATATACCTTGAACAGAATAGAGCTGGAAGGGACCTTGGAGGTCATCTAGTCCAGCCCCCTGCTCAAGCAGGAGAACCTATACCCTTTCAGATTTAGCCTCTTCTTAAAACCTTCAGTAATGGAGCACCCACGACTTCTGAAGGCAAGCTGTTCCACCGGTTCCTCCTGCTATTTTCCCCACAACAATAGCCCTGTGAGTTGAGTTGGGATGAGAGACTGACTGGCCCAAGGTCACCCAGCTAACTTTCGTGCCTAAGGCAGGACTAGAACTCAGAGTCTTCTGGTTTCTACCCTAGTGCCTTAACTGGTAGATCAATCAATGCACAATCTAAAATATGCAACTAAGAAAGTGGGATACCAAACCTGTGGTGTCTAGTATCATGGATGGCACGATCACTGGGCATCCGTTCACTCTCCCGTTGGTTAAAGGCATACAGTCGATATGGATCCTCTCCGCCTTTCCATCTCCGAACACTCAGATATTTTCTTTCTTCAAATTGATCCCAAAGATCATCCCAATCAATGTCGGAATCCTGTTCGTGCATAAACATAGATTCCATAAGAAAAATAAAAAGTTGGAATTGAATGGTCATGCTATTCTTGTTTTTAATTTAAGTTAGCTTCCTTGGACAGTTTTGAGCAAAGATAGGGTGTCCCTTTTTAAAAAAAAAAACAAAAACCTAAATATTATATAATATAAATAGAACAGTTAACAACCATGTTCTTGTTCATACAGAACATCATCATTTCAAAAATAAGGTTGTGCATTTGAAAATACCTATTTTTTTCTTCAAATTAAATAAAGTACAAAGAGATTCATCTTGCATTATGAGAACCAGTTGCTGTTTTGTATTCTGGCATATGCTTGTGGTTGCAAAGCAGAATGCATTATACTGATGTTTGAGGTCAACATAACTCAGACTTAATCAGCTGAAAATCGAATGCAGGTAAATCAATTCAGGGGACATTTTGTACATAGCCACAAGCAGGATTGGGAAAGAAATCTGTTTTTGTCACATTTTATATGATACAGCCTAATTTCTACTTCCTAACCTAACTGCAGACCAGAATGTAATTGCCTTTCAGTTCTGGCATCTCCATATTTTGTGAAGATTAGGAAACATGTCACACTAAACTATATGCATTTGTGTATGTATTCTCATAATATCTTTTTTCTTTTCCTGTATTACATCCAGATTATACAACACATATACTAGAAGAAATGTAATGTGTATAAAGTAAAAGTGTAATGTATATAAAATAATTCACAAATCAGAGATATCCAGTGGGGTGGGGGGCAAACTGTGAAAACAGCATAGTGCTATTATGGTACAAGTTCCTTTCCTATCAGACATGTATCATAATGTTGTACACATGTATGAAAGGAGAAACATTTGGATCACAAAGATGTCATTCTGCATTTAATGAAAGTGATAAATCCATGGATATTTCTGTCATAAATTGATAGCAAAAGGGACTGATAATACTTTCATTTGATATTTAGAAACCAATCTAAAACATTTCAAATAGTATCTTTTTTTTAAATAGAAGGCTTCTCAGCAAACACAGTGCAACATATAAAAAAGACAGATGCAATTAGCAGCAGATGCTTTCAATCCAAAAAGTCAAAGCCATGATCTATTTATACAAGGCCAGAAACCACAGTAAAAAGAAACAGAATGTTTGCACACCATAAAGTATAAGAGACAAATCAGTTCCAGGTGATAAAAGTTCAGTTTCATGTGGCTACCAGCCAACTTGCAGAGAGAAGAGCACTTTTTATTAATTAATTAATTTATCTATAAAATTTATTGGCCACTCATCTTACCATAGGGTAACTCTGAGTGGCTTACAGTTACATATAAGCTAAAACATACACAGTTAAAAACAAATATTAAAACCAAAGACTGACGCAGCCATGTCTTTAGGCCCTTATGAAAAGATAGGAGGTTGGGGCCAACCTCATATCCGGGGGCAAGTTGTTCCAGAGGGCAACAGCAGAGAAGGCCTGGACCCCACCAGCCAGAATAATCAGGCTGACAGGACCCACAGCATACCTCCTCTGCCAGCACAAGTGGTACAGGCCAATCCCAGTGGGGTGAGATGGTCCCTCAAGTAACCTGGACCCATGCCATGAAGGGCTTTAAAGGTGCTCCCCAATACCTTGAATTGCACCCGGAAGCAGATTGGCAGCCAATGCAGCTCATGGAGCAGTAGTGTTACAGAGGCCATTCTTGGGGTCCCCAAAACTGCCCACACCACCACACTTTGCACCAGCTGTAGCTTCTGAATGCTCTTCAAGGATAGCCCCATGAAGAGCTCATTAAAGTAGTCCAGTCATGAGATGATTAGGGACTGAATGACTGAGTACATTGCTTGTACAAACCAGAGAATAAATATTAATGGTACTTCATTTCAGACCTCTATGAAGAAATACAAAGTATCACTTTGATTTCTCAGTATCTATTTATCAAATAAATGTTTCACTGTCCTTAAACTTTGGATCCAATCCAGCCTACACATTCTCTCTAGAAGCTTGCTCCTTCTAATAGCTATATTTGATTTTTCTCTTTTTTTGTTGATTGTTGAATTTACTTGATTTTCACCTGATTACTATTACCGAAATTGAGAATTTAGACTGAAAGTACACAAGAAAAACTTCCAATAAATCATGCTAAAGAATACTGTAGTCTTTTAGCTGTATTCCTGCTTTTTCCTAAGTGTCCAAGCCATAGGCCCTATGCTCACATTCCCAGCAGCAGCAAATAGCCCGAGCCTGCAAAGATGAAGTGAAGAAAGCCAAGGCTCAAAATGAACTAAGGCTTGCGACCAAAGTCAAAAATAACAAAAAAAGCTTCTTTCAACATGTAAAAAACAAGAAAAAAGTGAAGGAAATGATTGGTCCATTAGTGGGTGGAAGTGGCAAGAAGGTGACAAGCAACAGGGAGAAAGCAGAACTATTTAACTCATTTTTTGCATCTGTCTTTACACAAAGGGAAAAAACAGACCAACCTATCAAAAATAGTGCCATAAAAAACAAAACAGAAACACAAGTTAAGATAGGCAAGAAAATCGTTAGGGAGCACCTGTCCAGCCTAGATGAGTTCAAATCGCCAGGACCAGATGGATTACACCCCAGAGTTCTCAAGGAACTGGCAGATGTGATATCGGAGCCACTGAACTATATTTTTCAAAGATCCTGGAACACAGGGGAACTACCAGAGGACTGGAAAAGAGCTGATGTAGTTCCCATCCTCAAAAAAGGAAAAAAAATGGATCCAGGAAATTACAGACCTATCAGCCTGACCTCAATACCTGGGAAGATCCTGGAAAAGATAATCAAACAACGAATCAACGAACACCTAGAGGCAAACAAAGTCATTACTAAAAGCCAACATGGGTTTGTCAAAAATAGATCATGCCAGACAAATCTTATTGCATTCTTTGACCAAGTGACAAAATTAGTGGATCAGAGGAATGCTGTGGACATAATTTACTTGGACTTCAGTAAGGCATTTGATAAAGTAGATCACAACCTACTACTTGACAAGATAGAAAAATGTGGGGTAGACAGAACCACCACCAGATGGATCCGTAGCTGGCTGACCGGCCGTACTCAGCGAGTGGTCCTCAATGGAACTGCATCTATATGGAGGGAAGTGTGTAGTGGGGTGCCCCAGGGCTCTGTTCTGGGCCCAGTACTCTTCAACATCTTCATCAACGATTTGGATGAAGGGATAGATGGGGAACTCATCAAATTTGCAGACGACACCAAGCTGGCAGGAATAGCCAACACTCCAGAAGACAGGCTTCAGATACAGAAGGATCTGGACAGACTTGAACACTGGGCACTAACTAACAAAATGAAATTCAATGGTGAAAAAAGCAAGGTTCTACATTTAGGCAAGAAAAACCAAATGCACAAGTACAGCATAGGTGGCACCATGCTCAATAGTAGTAACTGTGAGAGGGACCTCGGAGTCCTAGTAGACAATCACCTAAATATGAGCCAGCAGTGTGCTGCAGCTGCCAAAAAGGCCAACACAGTGCTAGGCTGCATTAACAGAGGGATAGAATCAAGATCACGTGAAGTATTAATACCACTCTTCAATGCCTTGGTAAGGCCACACTTGGAATACTGCATCCAGTTTTGGTCACCACGATGTAAAAAAGATGTTGAGACTCTAGAAAGAGTACAGAGAAGAGCAACAAAGATGATTAGGGGACTGGAGGCTAAAACATATAAGGAACGGTTGCTAGAATTGGGTATGTCTAGTTTAACGAAGAGAAGGACAAGGGGGGACATGATAGCAGTATTCCAATATCTCAGGGGCTGCCATAAAGAAGAGGGAATTAAGCTATTTTCCAAAGCACCTGAAGGCAGGACAAGAAGCAACGGGTGGAAACTAATCAAGGAGAGAAGCAACCTAGAACTAAGGAGAAACTTCCTGACAGTGAGAACAATTAATCAGTGGAACAGCTTGCCTCCAGAAGCAGTAAATGCTCCAACACTGGAAGTTTTTAAGAAGAGACTGGACAGCCATTTGTCCGAAATGGTGTAGGGTTTCCTGCCCGAGCAGGGGGTTGGACTAGATGACCTCCAAGGTCCCTTCCAACTTTACTACTACTACTACTACTACTACTACTACTACTACTACTACTACTACTATTATTATTATTATTATTATTATTATTATTATTATTATTATTATGTCATACTTATCCACTGAACAAACTGGCCTTTTGCTTAGAATCAAGTGAATACAATGTTTTTATCTCTGTTTTAATAAAGCACATACCATATGCCCCAAATATCATTATGGAAACACAACATCTTTGATTTCAATTTGTTTCTACTATGGACAGAAACAGAATTATTATAGAATTATTTTGATACCCCAAAAAGTCACCTTACTAATAATTGAGCTTTCATTTATTATTACCTTTTGCCTGATACTGATATCAAACAATTTTATTTCATAATTGATTTTATTCACAGCACATTTTATGTAACAAAAGAAAGGGAGTGAGAAAATGATGGCACCAATAAATAAATCGTCCATGTCCCAGTGATTCATCTGCATTCATGGGCTGGTTTAAATACTATAAAATACTGTAATTTAATAATAATTAGCTAGATCCCACTACAGTTTAATTTAAAAAAAAAACAACTTCCTTTACAAATACCACAAATGCAGAGTTAGATATTGAAACATATGTGTGATTACCCTTATCTCCATGCTTGCAGATTGTATTTAATTATTTTTCAGATGAATTTTTATTACATTCTACCAAAGCCATGCTGATTATCAATCTGTGATCCACTTAACAGCCTCTTCTTCAAAAACCTCATTGAAATAATTAGAACTCATAGAAACCATCCATTGAGTCACCAAGAGTTGAAGTGACTGAGTCCCTACACAATTACTCCCAGAAAACCAACAATATTAAAGGAACACAGAAGCAGATATGATCTTAAGAACTTCAGGATCAATCCCCACTTAATCATGAACTTCTCCCTTTTTGATTGATC